AATACAATCATACTGCAGATGGCCTAGCTAAATTTGGTGTGTATTTGGAGTATCTGTATAGCGACAAGCTTCCTCCTTTGTAACTTGCAGGGGTTCCCCCTCCCCCTGTTTTGTATATCTCCTTTTGTTCCCCCCCCCCACTTATTCTCAATAAATCTTGGTTAAATTTTCTCAAAAAAAATGCATGTATGTGTATATATAGTAATATTTATTTTTTTGATAAATATATAGTAATATTTATTAGTTAATGCTATTTTGAAGCCATTAATTAGTTAATATTTATTATATATATAGATATATTGAGAAAAGGTAAAGTATAATTGTATTAATCAACCGGTCTTTTGTACAACAAGAAATTGTGCAAAAACTGCAACAAAAGGACCTCATAAAAATGCCATCCTCAAAAAAGTACAATCAAGTGTATCCTCTTAAAAACCTATGTGTATAGACAACCAGCTCCTAAGAAGCTCTATAGCCCTGTTAATGACCTCAGCTTCCGAGGCTTTTTGATCAAAAGTCCTGCTGCTCCTTTCAGCCCAAACTGCTCACAAAATAGCCAAAGGAATTGAGGACCAGCATAATTTCCCCTTCTTTGTCATTCCAGATATGTGCCAAGCCTCCAAGCATGTTCTTACTGAGGCCGGAATACTCCAGCTTACCTTTAAGTTCTTTAGAAAATAGTTCCAAATCACTGTTACAAACTTGCAATGTAGAAACAGATGATTAACTGATTCCATCTCCACACTGCACAGGTTGCATCTCAAGTTATTACACATAAAACCTTTCTTCAGCAGCATCTCTTCTGTGAGGCATTTCTCTAAAGCTGCCACCCAAACAAAAAATTTGATTTTAGAGGGTGCCACTGTTCCCCAAATGGCCCAGCTAGGAAAAGGAACTCGATTTCCTTTCACTAAAAAACTGTAGAAGGATTTAACTGAGAACCCTCCTGATTTATTCCACTTCCACACTCTTGAATCCTGACTTTTTGCAAATTAAGAGTCTGCTCCTGGAGCAGAGCTAGGAGATTTCCTACTTGCTGAATCTCCCAATCATTAAAGTCCCTTCTAAAAGAGGGGGTCCAGCAAATTACCTAATATTTATTATATATAGATTTAGGTAATATTTATTATGTATATAAGTTAATATATATACCTTAATTTTGAATAAATAAATATAATTCGTATTAATTTTTATTATTAAAGAAATTTTAATAATCAAATTTTAGCATTTATTGAGAAACTCCCACCAAGAGAAATAAAGGTTACTTAAGAATCAAAATACATATTATTAAGACAAGCAATAAAGGTATGCCATAGTGATGGACTAGTTGTCTTTGTAAATAAGTGATTAGGATTTGAAGCTTCTTGCCTTCAATTTATGGTTTTTAACAAGCTATTTCACTTAATTAGCATTTAATGACGTGTCAAATGCCTTAATTAAAGGTAACTCAAAGAGCATTTAATTAAATAATATTAGCATTTAATATCCTCTCAAATTCGAAGGCTTACTTAAAAGTGATATAAATGAGGGAGGAGAGATAATTTGAATTTGAATTTAAACAATAAAAAGAGAGGTAAGTTAATTAAGATTGTAACGGCTAATACATAGTGCATATCGGTCCATTTCGGTGTTGTATCGACCGATACATACCCGAAATGGTCCGATACAAGGCCGATACAGACCCGTATCAGTCGGTTATGAATGGGAAAAAAAACAAGAAACTTATTAATTCTATATGTTCCATGTATCGGATCCTGAAAAGGTACGTATCTGCCGATAACACTGCAAAATTTTAAAACTTGGCCCTGACTACTCCCGTCAAAAATTCAACTTAACAAAACCCTCTATAGGAGTCCCATCTTGCTTGAATTCTGAACTTCTTAGACAAAGTAACAGCCACTGCTGACCAGCCCTTCCAAATATCATCAAAGGAGTAGCTTTCAAAAAAGTTTTAAAGATTTCAGCCAAAGAATAGCCCTTGTCAAAATATCATTGATTTCAGAAAGACTTATTTCCTTTTCCTTGAATTTTCTGTCATTCCTTTCTTCCCAAATAGTCCACAAGAGAGCTGCTCTGATACTTTTTTTATTGGAAACTGTAACTTTCATTGAATTAGTAAAGGAGTACAATGCCAATCACTCGCAGCATGAGTGCTGACCCCATTTTTATCCCAAAATTTACAGTACAGCCCAAAAAATATTTTCCCTTTGAGTTCCTTGTTTTGCCAAAGTATCAGCCACACTGTTGGCTGACCTCCTTGCGCAAGTAAAGATTACTCCAGTTTCCCTTGCTAAATAATAAATCTCCCTCATTTTCTGTCTAAAAGTCCACGCCCCCAGACTTTTTGTCTGCAGCCATCCTATTAACAGCTTAGAATCTCCCTCAACTTCAAAATTTTGGAAACCCTATTGCTTGGCCAGTCTCAGACCTTGGAATAAGGCCATAATTTCAGCTGCTCTGATACATTTCAACATGGTTCTCCCTCTTTTCATGGGCAACCCAAAGGTAGATGGAAAAAACAACAAATTTACTTCAGCTGGCAAGTTCCACCTGACCCAAACAAATCAAAAACCCAAATCCTCCTCACTAAAACATTTTGAGATTAGAAACCCAACTCTTGATGAGCTCCACTGAAATGTTGATTTCCACATTATTATCTCTACCAGAGAATTACCTTCTTGGGCTTGTGGAGTCATGGGCAACTACCAATTAGCTGACTCCATGGACCTATTCTCATCTAGAGGTCTAACAAATGCTATACAAAAATGCTGTCTATTGCTTATTTCTTATGGCTCTCTCTCAAGCCAAGGAGGCAATAGATACCAGAATTTTCAATAGAAAATTTTGTAGTTAAAATCTATTTAGCCTGCTCTATTCGTTAACTTCTCAAAATGTTGTCCCTCCCACTGACAAAATGTAATTAAGGGAATGTCTATAAGACATCCTAAATGGGGGCTACCCAAACTGGTCTAATTGTAAATCATGTTATGTGAGAAGTCCAATAAAACTTTTCACACTAACACATTTTTTCATCTGTTGCAAATCTGTAATGGTATGAAGGACTTGTTATCTATCAAAAAAAAAAAGTATGAAAGGCTTGTTTTTCAACTTTTTAGTTGACTACGACCATATATCAACCAATGGTTCATAATTAAATAGCAACCACTAAAAACATGTCAAAAAAAGCAATAATCAAAAAGAATCCATAAATATTCCTCTTGGATCTTGCTCACTCTCTAACACTCACATTGGGAAAAGAAAGCAACTTTGAGTTGGTTGCTCTACTTTGAATACGGTATGCCTTTGTGGTCATTGCCAAAACTTGCATTGCACTGATAGCAGCCAAGTTATTCTCTTGTTGCAAATATAACTGAGCAACCAGCCTCGAAAAAAAGGCAGCTTTCCGCTGGTAACCAAGGGTCCCAAACAAACGAGCAATTTCAACATATAATATCAGCCGGTCACTAGCATCAGTCAAAGATTTGGCACCATCTACAGCAACTGATAACAATTCCACTACCTCCTTGATAAGCTCTAGCCTGTAAAAACCATGAAATGATTAAGATACCACACCAATTTCTATAAGAACAGTTTCAAATGAATACTTAGGTAGTGTATACATGATATTTGAAATATGAATTAACCAGCCATTTTCATTTACTCAAGGTTCAAGTATCGATACCCTTGATAACAAATTTCCGTATCAAGATTTTCGTTTGACCGAAACTCTTTTTTTTTTTGTTTCATAATTTGACAGGGGTCCTGTGACATCACCTGTTAACATTTCAAAACGTTGAAATGAGCTAACTCCATTTTAGTGTATCAGTGACACTGAAACCGATACATACTGGCTGATATGTACTGATACGCTGTGATATTTTGAACTTTGCATATAGTTGATAAACTTGCAGAAGCAGCAATTCACAATTTTAAGGGACCGGCAAGTATAAGATCTAAAAAAAATATCCTAATTAATTTTATCTTCATTGGCTGGCATAATGTCATTTTCATGAAAGAACAAAGTTTCTTCTGGTTAACTACGAAACTTCTGATGAGATCAAATAATTAAGTAGAGACTTCCTAGGCAAGCACAATAGATCATAGATCCTAGTTCTGCCTTTCTCATATCTACTTCAAAATGGTGCAGGTAAGTTGGAAAAAAGGTCACAAAAGCAACAAGGCATCACATATATTTGTTGTTTCATTTAGAAATATAGACTTGATGACTTTTACTTAATTACAGCAGGAACACTAGGTCACCAAATGGAAGGAAACACCTTTTTTTTTTGAGAAAAGTTAATCAATATTCATTGATAAAAAAAGAAACGAGATACATGAGGAGGTGTACAAAGCAAGGGGAGAACCCCTACAATTTACAAAGGAGAAAGTTTGTCGCTATATAGATGCTCTAAGAGCGCACCACATTTAGCTAAGCCATCTGCTGTATGGTTGTATTCCCTAGGAATCCAAACTAACTTTACATTTAGGC